CTGAAGAAGAAAAACAAAGTAAAGCAAAGTGGAAACACGTGCACAGTACATTAATTTTAGGCTTGGTAACACTGTATGTGTGGATTAGTATGCAACTGCATATCTTTTCTTTTTCACTTTGTCCCTGAGGATAAGAAATCCATTTTCACTCTTCAGGCAGAGAAAGTTATACACATACCATGTGTTCATACAAGTATCCTGTAACAGTATGCTTCAATATGTCATTCTTAAGTATGAAGGTAATATGACTTCCGTGTTTTGTAAGAATGAAGTTCTACCTGTAGTTCTACCAGGTATCCAGCAACCTTGGAGTGGCCAAACGTATTAATATAATCAAGGGGTTGCGTTTTTACAATGGTCAGGAATACAGAACAGGTGATACGAATCAAAATCAGAAATTAATTCATTCAGGCAAGACAATCACCTGTTTTTCATGTAGCAGCTCTCCTTGGGCAGACAGAATTATGTGAGTGCCAACAAGGTATCTCCTGAGTACTTGTCACTCCTGCTTTGGTAAACATCCAAAAATGCCATGTTCCTGGGCTGCCCTCCTTGGTGTCCAAAGCAAGAACTCTGGGCTGTAGAGGAAGTAGTAAGCCAGAGCTTTCCAATTTGTATGTATTCCCCTACTCTTTGTTCTTTTGACACACGTTGAGGAAGAATAGGCACTGGGGTGAGTTCTGATGTCACAATGACTGCAGCAGTGTTCTAGATCACTGAGGTGAGCAATTCAGTGTTTCCTTGACATGGAGTTAAAGGGTCTATTACACTATGTGTACGTGAGGCTGAGTCTGTTATTTTATCAGTAAATAGAATGTTTGCCCATTCTCCAGATGGGGAAAGAAATTTTAGATCTTCATGCTAGTTTAGTGGTTTTGTTTAATAAGCCACCACTTGGATTTCTTTTGCCCTTTTCAGAAAGAGGGATGAAGATTTGTAGTAACCCCAGAAGAAAGATTTCATCTTGCTGGAAACTGGTTTTATGTCTCTCCATAATGATTGGTCTATCTTGCTCCCACGCTGCAAATCCACCTATATATAATATGACTCTAACAGTTGATCAGGAGAAGTGGGTCATGTCTAAGGTATACCTCCCAGCTTTTCATGAAGACAACTTCTCTTCAATGAAGATGATGAGGATGTTGGTGAGACCAGAGGGAGAAGCTAAGGCCACCTGTAGGCTGGTGACCAACTTCAATATACCACCAAATATGGAGAATGCAATTGTCCTCACCGTGAGCCGAAACAATACTTTTAAAGATAAAATCAAGGTAGCAGCCATCACCCACCAACTGTTCTTTCCCGACAGCAATGTTCTCATTTTCAGGCATGAGGATGCAGGTGATATTGCTGCTGTCACAATTAGCACTCTAGGAGGAAAACAGATATGCCTGATTACTGCAGTTATCCAGATTCCTTTCTTAGTCAAAATGGAAACTACACTGTGCTTCTGGAAGATCGGTCTGTGTGCTTGTTCTGTTCTTTTGGCAATGGTCACTTTTGTACTACTTTGCTATGTTCCATGGAAGATTATGGTAAGGCGTGAAGAAAGGAAAATTCAAAATGCGAAAACCGAATTAAGGAAAGCTGTTCATTCCCTTGCATTGCATAAGCTAAAAAAGGGTGAATTTGATGAAGAGACCTGTGCGGTGTGCTTAGAGACGTACAAGCCGAGGGAGGTAGTACGCATTTTAACTTGCAGACATGTCTTCCACAGAAGATGCATTGACTACTGGTTGTTACAGCGTGGGATTTGCCCTCTTTGCAACTATGCCATTATTCAAAAGAACTGAAAGTGATGCCTTACCTCATCCTGTACAGGATGTGTTCAACTGCTCCACTTCCTGAATTTTATATATAATGGTATTCGGAGTCAATTTTTGCCAGAGAATGGTGATATTTTGAAGGCTACTGACAGTGGAGTTCCTGAATTAAATCCTTAAATTAGAGTGAGAAATTCCTAAATCTGAAACTTCTTTCACAAAAAAGTGGTATGGTTTTGGCTTGTGTAGTTTAGTACTCCATAAATGAAAGTTCTTCAGGAAGGATTTCATTTTATGTCACCTGAATAGCCTTTGAAAGATTGGCCTTTTGAAATTAATACTTAAATTGCATTGGTAACAATTGTACCTTAATTAGGGTTGAACTGAAAAGATAGCGAACTTCACCTCCCCTTCACAGAGTGTGAAACTAATGCAGGGAGGGATAGTGTGATTTCATCAGTGTTGTAGTCACAAGTTTCCTTTCTTTGCTACTGGTACCAATTATTTATTTGTTTGTTTGTTTACCTGGGCTTCCAGATTCTGTCTTGATTTACCTGTGATCATTGTCCTAAAACCAGATCAGAGGAAGGCAGGACACATTTAAATATCTGATTTAACTTGAATCTACAAAATGCCATTAGGTGATTGTTCTCTAGAAAATTGCCCTTACATCTCATATTTCCTTAATCCAAACTTACTTGTAATGAGTAACACTTGGGAAGGCCCTTTTTCTTGGCATCATGCTAATAGCTGCAAAAGTAAAGCAAGAGTGCCTTTTAAAAAATGTTGTTGTGCAAATGGGAAGGTTGATTAAAACAAATTATCTATATTGCTTGTTTTCTGCTAGATCAATTAAGTTACTAATTTAAATGCCATTGCCAGTTTCCCTTTGATTTGATGTTTAGCAAATAGCAATGGTAACTTCATCCTGTTTAATCCTGCTGTTAACTTCCCACCTGCACAGGACCATTCTGATAAGCTCTCCATTGCCTGTAGTCAAGTTTGGGAGCCAGCTTGTATTAATTTGATTCTTAGGATGACCAAACCTGAGCAAGTAAGCAAGATCCATGGGCAAAATAGTTCTGAAGTGGCTATAAATCTCTACAGCATATTGAGAATCTCTGTGAACCAGCTCCAATGTTAACTTCAGAGGGATTGAGGACCTTGAAGATAATGATTAGGCTAGAGTACTTAAAACAAAGTGTTAGGAGTGTTATGGCATGATTATGGGCTAGAAGACTAAGGCAGTTTTCCTCACCCTGGCACCCCCAAGATGTTTTGGACTACAACACAGCCTTTTTTGCCATTGTCCATGCTGTTTTGGGCTGCTGGAAGTTGAAGTCAAAATGATGCCAACATTGGTAACATTATATTTATTTTACAATCAGATTTGGTGATTTTTTTAATAATGTTGAACACCTGACCACAAGATAAGAAAACATTTTAGTACTGGCTGGAAAGGCATTTAAACAAATTGTATTGTTTTAGTGAGGTCAGAGTGCTGGTTACAAATTGAATCCCATGGTGTGTGGGAGTGGATTTTGACATTGTTTTCCTCCCAAACTCTGTATTGGGCCTGAACTGTAAAAATCAGGATCTGGCTCTCTGCCCCTGAAAGAATTAAGCCTTGCTTAGCATGTTAGAATGCTGCTCACTTTCTTAGCCTACTAGGCGTTGTTTTCCAAGGACCCTGAGGAAACTTGACCCTGTAGCCTGCCAGAACAAAGCTACATTTCTGTCTGTAGGAACCAAGGACTGGGAATAAGGTTGAACTGGACTGAATGAAGATCAGCAGGCTTCAATTATGCTACCTCCTAATAGCCTAGTTCAGAAATACAAGCTTATTTGGAAAGCAAGAGTTCAAACATGGAGTATCTTACCTATTAAAGCACTTTTCTCCACTTTGTAACTTCCAGATGTTTTAGACTACAACTCCCATAATCCCTAACCACTGGCCATGCTGGCTCTGACTGGTGGGTTTTGAAGTCTACAATATCTGGAGGGCACCAGGTTTGGGGAACGCATAACAAATCTATGTCAATTTATCAGAGTACCTACGCTTGCTCAAGTATGTATGAAGTGAGTCACTGTGTTAGGCCAAGATTCAGCTTGTCTAAAACTCTTTGCAGGAATCCAAAGAACAAAGAAAGGCTGGAGAGTCTGCCAGAAAGTGGCCACTGGTGTAAGTTTTACTTTCTGCTCACCCTAATACAAAGGAATCCAATGAGCTACAGGACACACATACCGCACATCTCTGAATGATGCTTTTAACCCCCCACTTTATTAAGGCTTATTCTTTGGGATTATTTGTGGGATTAAGATTGGCTCTTTTACACACATTCATTTATTTATTCATTTGCTGGGGGAAGTTTTTTTTTCTGCCTTTCTCTATGTTCTGTTACACATCTACCAGCTGGTACTTTAGTATAGCAAAATTGCACAAACACAGGAGAGTTGTATACCCTATTCACAGATAATATCATATTTTCCTCCACCTTTTAAAAAAAAGCTATGGAAATGGTTGCAAAAAATGGGAAAGGTTCTGGAGTTAAAGCATCTGATAACTACCATAAATTCACTGTGCTTCCAATTTAGCAAACCTGATTTTTGTGTGTTGTGTGAGATCTCAGCCAAACAGTTGACTGCTTGGAAACCACAGAGCTCTTTCCTCTACTTGGTGAATCTGCCTACACTTGGTGAACCCAAAAGATGCACCTCACTTTTTCATGAACACTTCTTGCATTGTGGGCCACAACATTCAGTAAAAGAGACACAAAAGACTCTATACTGTGGTATTTCAATTGCAGGTCAAATATGTATGTTTAGGAAATTACCAAATATATTTGCATATTGATCCTGGAGGGCAGGAGAGCCTGGAGGAATATTGTTCATGAGATTGTGATAGGTTGGGCATGACTTTGCGACTAAACAACCTTAAAGACTGTGTGTAGACAAGTCATTAAGTTCATGCCAATTGGCAGAGTTGCCCATGATGTAACAATTTCATTACTTAACAATGAACTACTTCATGGGGGACAGTTTTCTTTCTGGCGCTGTCTACAAGAAAGCTGTGCCAAGTGTCGTAAGTGTCAATAACTTCATGAGCTTGTTTCTCCAGAATTTTTTTGGATAGGATTTCATTATCTATCCAAATAGTGGAACAGCCATTTTTGGCACACTGATGACTTTTATTGTGTTCTGCATTTCTGCTTCAGTGGCTGCTTGGCAGGTGACAGAATGAACTTGCACGGGAGAAGAGGGCTAACATCTTTCTTCTTTCTGCATCTCGGAATCTATCTTGCTCTCAATATGCATAGTTCACGAGCCGACGCCTTTTGGATTGCTAATCTTAACATATCGTTTCGTTTAGGGAATCAGACTGTGTGGGAGATCACAGAAAATGGGGTATTTGCCAAAGCCTCTCCTTTGAAGAAGGTGTCCGGAGTTGTGGTACCTCCAGAGGAGCCACATCAAAATGCCTGCAGTTCGGTAACACATTTTAATAAGCCAGTAAATGCGGACAGCTGGATAGCTCTCATCATGAGGGGACATTGTTCATTTACAAGAAAAATAAGTGTGGCTGTAGCGAAGGGAGCTGTTGGTGTGATCATTTATAATTATCCGGGTACAGGTAACAATGTGTTTCCTATGTTTAACTTTGGTGCAGAAGATACTGTAGCAGTTATGATCGGTAACCTGAAAGGCATGGACCTCTTGCATTTGATTCAGAATGGCATCCAAGTGATGGTAACAATTGAAGTGGGAAAGCATTATTACCCATGGCTAACTCATTATATGGGTACCATTTTTGTCTTTGCCTCAGTCGCTGTGGCATATTTCACCTTCTACTGTGCTGCTAGGCTCCGGAGATCAAGGGATCCAACTGAGAGGTGCCAGCAAATACTTGATATTAATAAGGCCATGAAACATCTTGAACTTCGCACATTAACAGAGTCTGACAAGGAAGTTGGATCAAATGGAGAGAGCTGTGCAGTGTGTTTAGAAATGTACAAGCCTAAAGATGTAGCTCGTGTTTTGCACTGCCGACATCTTTTCCACAAAACCTGTGTTGATCCTTGGCTTTTAAAGCACCAGACGTGCCCTGTGTGCAAGTGGGACATGCTTGGAACAGTGGAAAGTGTTACAACAGAAGCAGAGCCTTTGGGTACTCCAGCAGCAAATGAAACGCCTTCCATCATCAGCTCTGCTAATGAAGAAGACCGTCAAGAAGCACATGCAGGAATGCAAAAAGGCACAAAGGCACAACCTGGAAGCAAATAACCTCTCCCATTCTGGTCGCTTCATTCTTAAGGCTCAAGCTTAAGTGTGTGTGAAATAAAAGTTTTACTGCATCCGCACAGTTTTTTCCAAGTTCTGTTTAACATCTGTATGAGCCATTGAGAGTGATAATTTAGGGATATGGGCCTTCAGTATGTGGTGATTCACAGCTCTTATTTCTCAAAAAGAATTAGCAACATGTGGTCCTTGAAATATATTGGCCTACAGCTCTCATGATTCCTCACCTGCCCAGGCCTGATGAAAGCTGTCTGCCATCCGGAAGATCAGAAATAGTTGTCCTCTCCTCTTTAATACCTGAACTGGATATGGTCTAGAAGGCCCTGGATGCAGTGGCCAGCTTGATGAGGGCTAATACACTTTGAATTCTGGAAAAGCAGAAGCAGCACAGGTAGGTTACAGATGTAGAAAAAAAGTCAGTTCTCTGTTCTACATGGGATTGCAATCCCTATGAAAGAACAGATGTATAAATTGGGGGTGTTCGTCTCTGTCACCAGATGCGCAACTGTTCTTGGTTGCTAGAAGTACCTTTCATCTGTTTCAGCTGGTACATCAACTACATCCATTCTTGGCTGACTTGCCCATGAAGCTGGGTAAGTCACTGGTAATCTCGAGTGGATCATTGCAATGTTCTGTATATGAAACTACCCTTGGGTTTGGCCTGGAACTTGCAGCTGGTGCAGAATGTCACTGCAAGGTTGCTGAAGGAGACTTCCTTTCATCAGTGTGTTGCACCTTTTCTACAAATTGCACTGACATCCAATAAGCTGCTGGGAAAAATATAAGGTTGTGCTAAACCCCTTAAACAATTAGAGACCAGGTTATCTAGGGACTGCTTCAGCTGTTGTGTGTCTGTCTAGTCTTTAAAAACCTTATTCGTGCCATATGGTCTTGAGGTTTGCCTTAGGAGTAGCAGTAATAAAGCGTTTGGTGTTGCAGCCTTTGCCCTCCAGAAAGTTCTCCCAGTTGACATCATCTGACTGGCACTCACAGTTTTGACTTTTAGATGTCTCTTTCATGCATATCTCATTAAACAGGCTGTCTCTGACATGTGACCCAAGCAGTTACGTAACTGCTTTATCATAGGTCAGCAGGATGATCATTAAAATTATTACTGTAGTTTATTGTTATATTTTAGTGGTTATATAACACTATATTATCTTTTCCATTTTGTTGTGTGCTTGGTATAACAAACATCTGGCTGTTCTTAACACATGGCTTGTTTTTCTTCTAAGGATGGTAGTAAGTTTTGGTAAAATTTCACTGTAAGAATCACGCCTTTAATTCACTATTTTAGATCAGTACTGAAGCTTAAGTTAAGCCTTCATTGCAAGCCAGAATTTTCTGAATACTTAAATTTCTGGTATTTCTACCTTGCCATTTTTACAGAGAAAATTATGTAGTCCTTCTGCATCTGGGTTCTTACAGATTAGTATTCTCAGAGACATGATAATACTCTTAGCAAGTAGTCTTGTTACTAGAGCTGTAGCAATTATTTTCTTATTTCAGTTTTAGGGATTGAAGTAGTGCTGTGGAAGTCCAAGAGCCAAATACTTCTTCCCAAAATCTTCATTGTAAAAATATTCATCTTCTCTTCCTTTCCCTTTCAAACCTGTAAACTGCCATTGCTTCTTTGGCACCACTGTTTTTTCCTCGTTTTCCTCGATTATTGTCATGATACCACATAACTAATCCGATGTGGTTGCATGATTTCTGTGAAGGCAAAAAAGCAGTTCAAAAAGGACTTTCCTGGCTAGTCACTTGGACACTCTGAGAATACATAGTAAATGTCATGACATCACAGTTGTAGTAGTCAGATCTGTTTGTGTTCACTACAGTGAGCAAAACCAATTATGTGAGGTGGTAACCATGCATTGTGTTAATGGGGGGGATACTGGAAATTATGTGGTGCTCTCATAAAATGGCTGCTCAACCACATGGGCAATTACAAAACCTCAGTTTCGCAGAAGGAAGATTGGGTAAATCTTCATTACAGTGATTTGCCAGGAGCTGAAGCATAAAACAGAAAGGACAAGGGTGAGGTTGTTCTGAGCTCCAAACATCAAGCTGCTGTTTTGTGCCCACATAAAAATGGCACTGAAAAGCAGCCCTTTAATAGCAGGCCAAATGTGCATTTTTATTTTTAAGATCAAGAGAGGCCAGTACATACCAAGAGATGGGTCTGTGGGCATACTGGTGCCCAAAGACACTAGACTTGGAGTCCCCAGAGTAATGTATGTAAGTAAATTAGTGAACATTTTTCAAAGCATTGCATCATCCAAATCATGGGCCTTTTTGACACTTCCCCAAAGGTTCCCAAAATACACTGAATAATTTTGGCTCAGCCCTCACAGTACAACATCAATATTCTGAATGAAAATCCAAATTGTGCTAAGGTTGTGTGTGCGCGTGCGCGCGTGTGGTATTTTGATTTGCTTTGGTCTGTTATTATAAACCCGTCACTGCTGTATCATTTGAAATAAAGAGTATTTCAGAATGATACACAGACTGGAGTATACATGCACTGCTGAGAAATCTGGGAGATTCCATAGCGAATAAGATTTGTACAAACTATGGAAAGTACTCGTTGACATAATGATGCTGCTTTGGCAAGTACAGCAGTCATGAAGAGCATGGAAAAGAGGTATGGTAAAAGGTAGCAGAAAGTCCTGCAAGCAAAAGGCATTGCATCTCCTGCTGGCTCACCTGTGACATCTGATGCCATGTGTTCCTGGCCCCTTCGCAGGCCTGGATCACCTGGACTCTGCCAGAGAGCTCTGCCTGCCAGCCAGATCTTCCATCTCCCACAGGAGAGAGGACAGCTAGCCCTTGGGCTCGAGTGCACAGAGATGCACCTACACACATGCAGGTGTGGAACCAGCAGCAAGCAAGCCTTGTTCCACCAGGACTAGTTGTAAATTGCCCATTTGGGGCCTATTTAATGGCTGTTGGGGCAGTGGGACAGGAGATTCTGGGAGGGGGCGTTATTTTTTCCCTCTTGTTCCCACCCTTCACCCTGTTTTCTCTTTTTCTTTTTCCCTTGTAGTTGAAAGATAGAGGAAGGCATTGTAAGCATGGAAGGTTTGTGTAGTGTTGGATTAGTTTAGATTAAAAGAGGTGTGTTGGAGATTATTCAGCTTGGAGTGGGGTTGAAAGATTCTGTTGGTTTATTATTGGGAAGTTTACGATGTTGCTCAGCTTCGCTCTGACTTGGACCACAGTTGTCCCAGTTCCATCGGCAGAGGCTAACTTGGTAACAGACTGGATGAGGGCCAATAAACTGAAGTTGAATCCAGATAAGACAGAGGTCCTGTTGGTGGGCACTCCCACACTCCAACTAGGTAATTTTCAACCCACCCTGAACAGGGTTGCACTCCCCCTAAAGGAGAAGGTTCATAGCTTAGGGGTGCTCCTTCTTCCCAATTGCCTACACTTACAGAAAATGTTTGAGTTTGAGGTTTTGGATAGTGTAACCTTTTTTCTGTAGAGGTCTACTTTATTGTAGCTGGAGCCTGTTAAGATCATATTTCAGCAGTGAATGGAACCAGAAAACATCCTTACTAAGTCACATCTTTCTTCAAAAAGTTTGGGTAGTAAGTTGTGTCCGCAACAAGTCTTTTCTTTTGTTGAAGTAGATTTGGAGGGATTGGGCAAGCTTACTGGCAGATCTTCCTGCTTTAAGGAAGTCAAGTCACTTTTCCATATTAAAGGCATCTTCAGTGGTGACAATTATCAATGCTTTGCCTATGTAATAAAGTAATAAAAACATTTCTGTAATGTAAGTAATGCCCAATGTATTTGGAAAACTGAAGTTGCAATGATGTCATTGTAAACGTACCCCATTTTTGTGGACATTTACGTAATTGTTCTCCTGAGTTTTCTTCTTTCTTTTCCTTTCCTTTCCCTTTTCTTTCATAAGGTTTTTCTCAGGAGTGATCGTGTTGCCAGGATGGTTCATAGTGGAGGATGCTCTGCAAATGACTTCAGAGATGTTTTTAAGAAGAACATTGAGAAGAGGGTCCGAAGTTTGCCAGAAATAGATGGATTAAGCAAGGAGACTGTGCTCAGTTCTTGGATTGCCAAATATGATGCCATTTACAGAGGAGAAGAAGACTTGTACAAACAGCCCAATAGGATGGCTTTAAGTGCTGTATCAGAACTTATTCTGAGCAAAGAACAACTTTATGAAATGTTTCAGCAGATTCTAGGAATAAAAAAACTGGAGCATCAATTGATCTACAATGCCTGCCAAGTAAGAGTTCATTCCCATTTTGTGATGCATAGATATTTCTTTTCTTTTTCCTTCATAGATTGTCATAAGATCTGACCAGATCTTACTTTATGACTGCAAGAAGGACCTTATCTTATAAAATGTATGCTGAGTGTACTTCTGACAGCAGAACTGAAGATGTTTATGAGATAATACATACCTAAGGGCAGCAGATATTAGCATTGCTAGCCACGCTATTTATTTTAATCATTGTTCTGCCTTCCCCAAGTTCTGTGGCATGTGCAGCAAACTTGACTAAAAGAGGGCAGTTGCCCTTTTACTGAGATTTTATATAAAATGCAAGCAGCTGCTTGTTGCCTCTGTCACCATCTGCAGAAGTCCATTGGGAAGGGAGTAAAATGTTTCTTCTTTCCTCAGCAATGAAATGGGAGGCTGCTCGCTCTTCTCAAGTGTGCATTGAAGAGGGGTGCTTGCTGCTGGCAAACAGAAATTTATGATGCCTCTGTTTACACTGCCTATCATAGGGAGAATGAGAGAGCAGAACAAGCTGCAAATCTTACATGCTAGTAATAATTTAACAATAAGATTCATAAAAGACTATAAAACGGTCATAAAATGTGGCACAGAATTGCACAGCAAACAATGCAAGTGAAAACTAATAATACCTTATAAACTAGAAAACATTTATAAGAAACAGGAACATAGGTTAAATTATACAACAAAAAGGTACAGGTAAAAATAACTGTTTAAATCAGTAGCCAGAATGTGTGCATACACACACACACGTGCAAATATAAGGACAGGTGAAAACTCTATCCTGTTACAAGCGCTGTAGCATCACATTATGAAAACAATCTCGACAAGATTGTATGGCAAATGGGTTTTGACTGGATAGTCTTTTTCATGGACAGATTAAAGAGACTTCAAAGATCTGCTTCAGCATGGATCTAAAGCATCCGGTTTAAAGAATCATATGCACTATGACTGCAAATGCTTAGAGTGTAACTGTTCTGGTCTCAGCATATGCTGGACTCTGTCTGTCTAGCGAGACTCACATGCCATCCACTTCTATGGGACTAAGAACTTCACCAGCATAAACAGCAAATAACTAACAAACACAGAACTAAGACTCAATAGCTTTGGTTGATTGAATAGATGGAAAAGTATCCCTCCCATTATGGCTGACAGATTTGTGGACAAGTGCCTACTTTACCCGATTCACAAACATTTACACCACAATGTCACTGCCTTATGATGTTGCAGAGATTTTAGTTACTAATGCAGCATTCTAGGAGTGCGCTCTCTCTCTCTCTCTCTCTCTCTCTCTCTCTCTCTCTCTCTCTCTCTCTGTGTGTGTGTGAGAGAGAGAGAGAGAGAGAGAGAGAGAGAGAGAGAGAGAGAGAGAGAGGAGGGAAGAGAGAATATAATAACCTTGCTGAGTGCAAGTAACAAGAGGATGATCATTATATTCAGAGCTGATGGTACATGGTGAAATCTACTTTTTCTCTCTTGGCTTGTATACTATTGTACTTGGAAAGCTGGAAATCAGAATGTTTGTTTTAGGAGACTAAGGAAGTGTGTGTCACAGTGAGATTACTGATGGGGCATGGATTTGGGAAAGCAGGAATGTTGTTAATCAGGAGATGTAAAAAATGCCAGGAGAATTTGTACCAAGAATTGTTTGGCCTGTACACGTCCCTACTTAATCCTTGCCTCACTTGCTATCTCTCTAGTCTTCGTGTGTGTGCGCGCGTGTGTGTATGTGTCCATGCACATGCGTGCACACCTGTCCATACATCTGTCTGTCTTTGTCCTGGCCTGACAGCCTGCATGTGTGCCTACCTAACTGTAACCAAATATTGGCATATCAAAAGGTTGTTATTTTGGTTATGGTGACAAGGCACGGAAAAGGCATGGGCTGCACTTGCTGCTAATTGATTGTCACAAAGTCCCTTTTATCCTGTTTCTAAAATAATTGCTTCTCCCCTTTTGAATGATTGCTTTTCCACAGAGTGTTTGAAAACGGCTGCCAGAAGTACTATTAAGTGCATAGAATCTGAACAGGCAATAGAGAACTGAATAGAGAGTACTTTTTGTTGAATTTTGATGCTTTACGTTTGCCCTGTTACAGCAATAAGCAAAATATTTGTAGATGTTCTCTTGAGATTACAGTTTATGAACAGCAGATAGGAGAAGTCTATGGTAAGTAACATCCCCATATTGAAATGTGTTCTGCCAGTCTTCTGTACTTTTAGTGTTTTTCTATATATGCCTATATAATCTATAATGGATATACCCTATATAATTTACTCACACATTACTTGCCTTGTTTTTAATGTCACTCCAAATTAAAGGTGTTTTTTTTAATCACATCTGGTTTTCCATATAATCTTTGATGTAATACCACCTGCCACCTTTGGAAATTTCCTTGCAGCTACAGTGAAAATGATTGCTATATATGTTGATCATCACAAGAATTCCACTAAGATATCCTGAGATTACTTACTTGAGAGTGCAAACTGTTTGTTTTGCTAATCCCATTACATGTAGCTGAAGATTAGTTTATGTTTACTCCAGGGTAAACAGAGTGGCCCTGGTTTGGGTGGAGACTATGTGTGCCTTGAGGGAAAGATTACATTTCCCCACCTTACCATTTGCTTTCCAAAAATTTAGGAAGCAAACAGTTGGGAAGAAGACAGTTTAATCCTCCCCTCCTTAAGCACACTGGTCCAGTCTGAACTGGGACTGTGCACAGTTATTCTAAACAAAATAAAAAGATAAGGCTCAGCTACGCACTGGGTGAGTCTGCATGACATGACAAGCCATGGTGGTTCTTCACATTGGTTGATCGGTTGTGTCATTCAAAGCCTGTCATTGTATTTCAGTATAGTATGTTTGGCTTCTGGAAACCTTAGAGAGAAACAATGCTGTGTTTTGTGGTTTCCACACTTCACCACAGTTTCTCATGACATCTGTACCCTGCATTGTAGTTTCCATGGTCCTGGTATAAGGCTGCCGCAGAATCCCCTGAATGAGTGGCAGCTGCAAGAGCTGCTCCAGCCATCCCATGTAGATTATCCCATCCTGCCTAGCAAGAGCTGTGTTAGCACTTGCCTCGCTCAGGGGGAGCTTTTGTCTCCCCTCCCTTCCTCCTTAGGCTTCTCCACTTCCCTTCAGATGTCCACCTGTTGTTTCTGTCCTCCAGTGGCAGAGAAGTGGGCCTTGCTGCCAGAGGCAATGACAGCTATGCTACGCAAAACTATCTGCTTGCTGTGGTTCTCATAGAACTCATGTTGGGAATGAAAGAGGCAGCTATTCTTGGCACATTTCCCAGGGCCAGGGTAGCACCGACTCTTCCAATGAGGACTGTGAGGGATGGGAAACTAGGACTGTGGACAAAGAGATGCCAGAGGAGGGTGGAGTTATCTCAAGGCCACCATCCCCAGCTCTTCAGGCAATCCTTGGGAGCAGATAGGATTTGGAAGAGCAGGGAGGAGTGAGGGGAAAGGAACAGGAGGAGCCCAGAGGGTCCCTGACCCCTTGACACAGTGTCGGGAGAGAAGGGCTACCCAATCAGAGGACCTGCATAGATCTAGGAATAGGGATGCAGGTGGTTCAGTGGTTTAAACTGCTGTGTTGCTGGGCTGGTTGACTGAAAGGTCGCCGGTTCAAATCTGCACAACGGGGTGAGTTCCCGTTGCTCTGTCCCAGCTCCTGTCAACCTTGCAGTTTGAAAGCATGTAATTGCAAGTAGATAAAAAGGTAGCACTTTGGTGGAAAGGTAATAGCGTTCTGTGCACCTCGGTGTTTAGTCAGGCCTGCCACATGACCACGGAGACTGTCTGTGGACAAACACTGGCTCCCTCGGCTAGGAAACCGAGATGAGCACCGCCCCCAAGAGTCAGGCATGACTGGACTTAACGTCAAGGGGAAACCTTTACCTTTACTTTACTATAGATCTAGGAAGCTATTTCTTCTTCAGAGGGGCATGCCCAGAGGTTACTGAAGAGGAAGATTCTCAGAAATAGTATCTAGTTTGGGTTCAAAGAATCACTCTGTTCATGCACAGAGACTCATCTTCTGGGGGCTATAGCTGTATATTGGAAATAAGAGTTCTTAAGCAAAAAGACTATTGCTTGAAAGGAAATAAGGTGGTGGGGGAGGGGGGAACCCAGCCTTCTTAGCAGTCCTTTCTGGAAGAAAACCCATCTGTCACAGAGCGAGAACTACCTCAGTCCCACAAGAGTCTGGTCCAAGGAAGAAATGAGCACACTCATCAACCCATGCAGCAGCCCATTTAGGAGGACTTCAGGTCTATGCACCGTAACAGTTTCTTCCCATGGTTTTCCAAGTAACTCGCACACTAAAGTGCCACAAGCCACATTCACAGCAGCCATGTGTTCATCATTCTTGAGAAAGTGGCATGAACTAATAGTGCAAAATGGAGAACTACTTTGTCTGATTTGTTTTACAGCTGACTAAGTAAGCTATGGAAACTAATGATTAGATCCTTCTTGTATGTACTCAAAAAGTACAGGCAAGGTTTTTGTTTCAGGTCCACTAGATAGGTAGGTAGCCCAGGGCTGAGACACCTTATGAGTTCTGAGGGGATAAAATGGAACAAAAGTCATGTAAATATATTTAATACTCATTTATATATAAGTATGAAATATATAATGCTACAATCCTACTATGGCAAAGCACATAATAGGCATCCCCTTTGACCTAACCAGAACACGTAATAAAAGAAGCAGTACAAATTTAGTAGAAAAATAGGCTAATAAAATGAACTTTGTTCTATAGAAAGCAACAGAGAAAAGCTGAAATTGCTGGAAGTCATTCATCAGGCTTACAATTTTATCCATAAGTTATTTCTATAGTTTCCCCAATTTCCAGTCATACTGGCAGAATGCAGTTTATCCAATTCACCTCTGACATTCCAGACTCATTTCAGATTGCAAGTGGTGGAGGGTCATATTTTTCACATATAATTGGAATATTTTTATTTCATACTCCAATGT